CCCCGGAGCGGGAATGGAATTCTTGCCTCGTGCATGCAGTGATGAAGAGCCTGACCATTACAACAAAGAACGACCACATTAAGCAATAAGAAGAACAAAATCGTGATGACCTAAGTCAAACCTTTGCAAGAGAAATGCGGTCAGACTGCATAAGGTACAACTACTTGCAAAAATATTTTCAGAACAGAATACAATATGTGGACGCTTCAAAAAAAAAGATACTAAATGCAAAAATCTTGAGACATGGAAGAATTAACCATCACGCATAATATATTGAAGCAAATGCCCGCTGTTGACTTCACATAACTATAAACCATCTTTAAACAATAGGTCTATACTTTGGTGGACTTATTAAACAAAGGTTGTCGATTAATGTGGTGTTAAACAATTAAATTGTTTTATGAGGGATAAACTTTGACATTCCGACATTAATATACAATAGGATAAGATAAGATAAATCTGTTTTGTCTATATGTTTGGTGTTTCACCACGTTTACACATACACACATACACACACACACACATGCACACACACGCACACACACACGCACACACACACACACACACACATACACAGACACACACACACACGCACGCAGGCTTGCAGTCACATGCATAATATGAATGAACAGTAATATAAACAATAGTAATAATGTTAAGCTAGATGCATAGTCAGTATTCTGATTATAACTCAATGGCATTCTGATGCAGGCTCTAAGGTCATATGAATACACTTATAACAAGAAAGGGCGACACGCTATAGTCAAACATTAAAAACATGGCAGCTACATTTAAATGCCATTTTAAATCGTCTTCGTTTATTCTGTTGATATGTTTCGCCCGATTCCGCACAATTTGTGGAAGGCGGGTTGTTTTGACCCTGTATGGCAGGGATGGTTCAGGCAGAGACTGAGAGGGAAACAAAAGTCCCAGCAGACAGACAGACGAAGACACTCAACTAAAAACAAACAAAACCAAAACAAACAAAAAAAACCCTCCGCACATGGGAACAGAACTCGTGCCTTCTACGTGCGAAGATGACGCTCCTGACCTCTGCACAACAGACGCCGGAAGATTAACTGTGGCGTCCTGTCATGTAAAAAACAACAACTGGACAACTTGTTGTTTTCCAAAGTTTAAAACAAGATACGAGCTGTTTCAGTTGAACTTCCTTATTATTATTTTTTTCGGTTTTTTGCAAGCAGGACTTGTTCTCCAACGTATTAATGAAACTGCACGCATCGTTATATGCCAAAGTTCTAGTAAGAGCTTATTGAAAAGAAATTTCATTAATCATATCCCAAAGACGCCTCATTTACAAGACGTAGTTTCTGAATCGGTAATGCATCACTCTTCCCGCCTATTGAACGAAAAACTCAGTATGTGCGAATTAAGTCATAATGGACTTTTTGAGAAAAAAAATCAATTCGACTGAAATGGAAACATCTTTTTATCTCACCTAAATATCATTGTCTCTCTATTCTAAAATACAAACATAATCGATACTGCACAATATAAACTGAAAGTATTGGTAAAAGAAAATTGGTCTTTGTTCAAACTTTCGGCGAACAATAACTTTGTCAGTTACTAGGTTTTTCAATTCAAACGGGATCATGGATGTCGCTACCGCTTCCTAGACGACTTAAGTAGATGCACACGGCGGTCAAACGCAGTTCATCGTGCGGGAGATATTTAGCAGGAAATAAATTACTTGTGCGTCTGACGATAACGCCTATCATTCCGCTTGAACATCACTGATGAGCGAAGCGCGGCCGGGGATTA